CACACATTTCAACAACTCGCCAGGGAAGTCATTTCAGTGACTGAATAGTAATTTCCGCATAGACCCCCCATCCCCTTGCAACCCCACAACATGGCCTTGCATTCTACCAAATATCAATGACATTTAGATTCCCCACCCCAAACCAATACTCCTTCATTAGAAGACTCAGGCAAATGTGTGGGACATCCAAAAAGGGGGGGGGGTGTTGTTGTAGAGAACTCTACTCCAGGATGATGGGGTTTTTCACGCTTCTTTTTCAGGCAGGTCATAAAAATAACAACAACAACCAGGGCTAACTAAAAAATAAATGTTTGGTTTTTATGATTCATGGTTAATGCCTGTGCGGTCCGTAAGAAAATGCGTGCTGGAGGACGGACTGAGAAGAAGAAGCGTGAGTAAAAACTAGCATGGCTGTGGCATGGTTGCAGTGACTGTCTGGCGGGTCGTCACCAGAATGCATTGTTACAATAGTTGTAACCAACAAAGTATTATTGCTCATTTGCTTTTGTTGTTCCTGTAGATCCAACAGCGTAGAAACTCAGTCCGGCAAATGAACGTTTAAAGGAAGACGCAACCAAAGCAACAAAAAGTTCTCTGTCGCACAGACAGACAGTTGCAATCAGACGGTTTTTAGTATTCTTCCTCCCCTCGCCCTTCTTCTTCCTCTACTTCTTGTTATGGCTGTTTCTTCTTGTTCTTTAATTTTATAATGTCTAGTTTGTTGTTGTTATTGTTATTGGTGTTCCCCATAATTTTTGCTGTATTGTCGTCGTTGTTGTTGCTGCTGCTTAATTTTGTTGAATTTTATTTCGTTTTTTTATTTTTTTGGTGAGAAGGAAATTGAATATTGAAGTTTAATGTTGCACAGTGTTTAGAAACTAAAGAAATTGGGGAAGGTTAAAGGTTCGGATAAATAAGTGTTGCAAGATTTTCCGATAAATAAGCTCCCATGGAGGTCTTCCAGAAATAGAAAAGGTTTTTCGGTTCATCTGGACAGCATTTCCAAACCATTTCGGCCTAACTACAAAAACTTTTCAAAAAATGGCAAAGCATTTGCCATTTCGCTGCTTCTAGGTAATTAAAAGATCTTCTATGGGCATGCAGACTACCACAGATCTAACTATAAAAAAATCCTGTCGATTTTATATACACTAGATATCCTGCTGGTTTTCTAAAGACTAAAGACAACCGGATGACCTTCCATTGATGAAAAGTTTTCCACAGGCATATGTAGGGCTTCTTTGAGGGTCTTCTAGAAGTAGAACATTTTTTACCAGACAGAGAACCTTCGACACATCTTTTAAATATTGAAAACCTTTTAAATTAAACCCTCTGCTGGTTTTCTGAGGATAAAAGTCCTTCTACAGGTTGAACAAGAAGACCCGCAGAATGTCTTACATCGACAGACATCATCGAGGAGATATAAGATCTTTCAAAGACCTTCTATAAGTCCAACACCTACAGGGGACACATCGACACATCGAGGGTCCTCCCTATAAAAAATCCCCCGAGATCTTCGGTCAAGACCTGTAAAAAAACCTCAATGGACACCTTTAGGAGGATATATATTAGCAGGAGGTATTTTATAGAAGGTCTTCTATAAAGACCTGCAGATATGTTTTAGAAGTCCTCTAAAAGAAAATCGTAGAAGTCCCCTCCTGTCTATAGAATCCCTGGGGAAGATCTTCCATCTTTTTCGGAAGGGCTTTTATCTGTAAAAGCCTTGAGAAAGAAATTATAGAAGAGGCCTATTTTAGGTCTTTCCAGTGTAAAAGTATTGCATCGTTTATAAATAGAAGAGATATTGAAGGTCTTCCATATAATAGACCTTTGAAAAGACTTCTAATTCTAAATGTCATTAAGAGGAGGTGACTAGCAAGTCATAGGAGTTTTCTTCGCTAAAAAAATAAAGGATTTACTAGAGAGATTCTGCAGTCTCTAGATCCTTTATTTATTTTTTTTTTTTTTTTTTTCTGAAGTTTAGTTTTTGGTTATAGAGGTCCTTGTGAGGTTTTAGTGAAAGAAGACTTATTGAAGTCAGATATCTATAAGTAATAGTTCTGAGAGCTATTCTTTATGTATAGAAGGCCTACTAGTCGCAGAAATCCTGTTATTTTTATTTATATTTTATTATTTTCAGGAGGATTTTTGTATGTCCCCGAGAAGTTCTACATTTTATAGAAAGCCTATTGAAGCTCTTTTCAGTCCTGAAGACATTGGAGATAGAAGGTACATAGAAAGTTTTCGATCCATATAAGGTGCTTTTGTACTATTTATCAATTTGTCTGTAGAGAGAAGTCCTACAATTTATGGAAGGTCTATTGAAGACATAGATGTGGTATAGAAGTCCTATAGGAAGACCTCTATATCTACATAACCTATATGGTATGTTTGCTCTCTATAGAAAGTACTCTGATATCTCTAGAACCTTTGAACATTTTTTCATTTGTATACCCTCCACAATACTATGGAGGGTATATTAACTATGTCAATCCGTTTGTGACTCCTCGAAATGCTCATTTCAGACCCAACAAAGTATATATATTCTTGATCAGCGTAAAATTCTAAGTCGATTTAGCGATGACCGTCTGTCTGGTTGTCCGTCTGTCTGTCTGTTGTAACCACGCTATCTTTCAAACGAATTGAGATAGAAGGCTAAAATTTTGCACACATGTTTACTTTTTCCAGTAGGCAGGTTAAGTTCGTAAATGGGCCATGTAGGTTTACGTATTCCTATAGCCTCCTTATAGAGGTACCTCCCGATTTTCGATATTTTGTGGCTTTCAGCGACATTGTTAACCGGAATTGTTTCAAATTAGGTATTTGAAGTTCGAAATGGATACTACAGCCTAAGACAGAAAATTGTGTGTGCAGGTCTAGGTCTTCGCATAGCCCTCATATAACGGTAAATCCCGATATGCGGTATTTTGATGATTTTAGCGACTTATTTCACCGAAATTGTTTCAAATTTGGTATTTCAAGTTCGAAATGGATACTACAGCCTAAGACAGAAAATTATCTGTGCAGGTCCACGTCTTCGTATAGCCCTCATATAACGGTAAATCCCGATATTCGTTATTTTGATGATTTTAACGACCTTATTCACCGAAATTGTTTCAAATTTCGTATTTGAAGTTCGTAATGGATACTACAGCCTATGACAGAAAATTGTCTGTGCAGGTCCACGTCTTCGTATAGCCCCCTAATAGCGGTAGGTCCCGATATTCGGTAATATGATGATTTCAGCAACATTATTCACCGGAATTGTTTCAAATTAGGTATTTGAAGTTCGAAATGGATACTACAGCCTAAGATAGAAAATTCTGTGTGCAGGTCTACGTCTTCGTATAGCCCCCATATAAAGGTACCTCCCGATATTCGGTATTTTGATGATTTTAGCTACATTATTCACCGGAATTGTGTCAAATTTGGTATTTGAAGTTCGAAATGGATACTACAGCCTAAGACAGAAAATTTTCTGTGCAGGTCCACGTCTTCGTATATCCCCCCATAACCGTAACTCCCTAAATTCGCTATTTAGACGATTTTAGCGACATTATCCGCCGGAATTAATTCAAATTTTGTATTTGAAGTTCGTAATGGGTGGTACAGCCTGTAACAGAAAATTACATATGCAGGTCTAGGTCTTCGCATAGCCCCCATACAACGGTACAGACTTATATTCGGTATTTTGATAATTTCAGCAAATCGTTTCAGATTTCATATTTAAAGTTCGTATGGATACTACAGCCTATGACATCAATTTTTGTATGCAGGTCCACGTCTTCGTATAGCCCCCATATAGCGGTAGCTCCCGATATTCGGTAATATGATGATTTCAGTAACATTATTCACCGGAATCCTGTGATTTAAATGTCGTATTGGGAGATTTTAATGGTTACTACAACCTATGGGAAAAATTTTCGTATGCACGTCTTCGTATAACCCCCCTATAACGGTACATCACGATATTCGGTATTTTCATGATTTTAGCGACATTATTTACCGGAATTATTTCAAGTTTCGTATTTGAAATTCGTAATAGGTGCTACAGCCTATGAAAAAAAAAATCGTAAGTAGATTCACGTCTTCGTTTAGCCCCCATATAACGGTACATCCCGATATTCGGTATTTTGATGATTTTAGCGACATTGTATTTGAAGTTCGTAATGGGTACTACAGCCTATGACAATATTTCGTAAGGTCCAGGTCCACGTCTTCAAGTTTTTTTTTTTTTAAATTTTTCAAGTTCCTTCCAAATGGTGGAAGGAATTAAAAGTTAGGTCCAGCCGAACTTAGCTGCTTTTTTTTATTTATTTTTTTTTTTTTTTTATTTTGCCCCACTGTGCCAAATTCTTAAAACTGAAAAGCTTCGAATATGTTTTTTTTTTTTCGTTGCACATAAAATAAACTTCAATTCTGTTTAAACGCTGGAAATAGCTTAGCCAGCCAGCGGACTGACTGAATGGCTGGCTGGCTGGAATAGAGTGGCTGATTGGCGACGAATATTGTGGTGGCTTTTAAGTTGTTGTTGTTGTTTTTTTTTTAAGGAGGAAAGTGGCGACGACAATATCTAAAACAACGACGATGGTGGTGGCGGCGACGACGACGACGACGAAATTTTAAAGGGAGTGGTGTTGATGTAAAATGAATAAAAGTATCTAATAAATATCTATGGTGGGGATATGCACATGCACACACACACGTGCATACATATGTATCTACTTGACATATACAATAATATGCTTAGCTGACTGTCGACATACATATGTGTATGGTGTCCATAGGTGGTTTGTCGGGGTGTGTGATTGCATTGAAAGCAACACAAATGTTTATTAATTTTCTTTTTTTATTATTTAGCTGTTGTTGAACACACACACACACTCGCACATGTGTGTATGTGTGTTGCCATGTAAAATTACTGCTGATTATTCTTTTGATTTTTTTCCAATTTTTTTTTTCTTTCGTTCAATATTTATTTCATGTGGGTGTCTACTTACTTGGGTTGCATCCGAATATGGGGTACTTGAGTTCATATTAACCCTTTGCGAGCCAAAGATGACATTGTCCTGCTGCTGCTGTTGTTGTTGTGATGATGATGATGATTGTCGTTGTTGTTGTTGTAAATGCTGGCCCATGGCTTGGGTTTCCATTTCAAAGCTGTTGTTGTTGCTGCTATTGTCCATTGCCGTTGTGAGAGCTAAAAACTCCTCAGCATTCTGGCTCTGGGTCTGGTTCTGAGTCTGCATCGTCGTTTTGAAATTCATAATATTCAAATTATTTTCAAAACTAATATTGATTTTATTGTTGACACTGTCGTCGCCGGCACAGCTGCTGTTGCTGTTGCTGCTGCTACCGCTCAGAGGACTAGCCGAAGCACTGATATTGTTAAGGGAGTAATTGGGTTGTTGACTTTTGTGGTTGTTGGAATTTGAGGTCCTTATGTTGTTGTTGTTGTTGCTGGTAGTGGTGTGGCTGACAATACTACTGCTCGTGCTGTGGGAGCTTAAGATACTGCTGTTACTGTTGCTATTGTGAATGTTGTTAATAAAAATAAGATTGTTGTTGTTGTTGGTGGTGTTGGTCTTTTTACATATGTTGGCAGCTGTTAATGATTGTTGTTGTTGCCTTGCCTTTGTTGCACCAACTTTAGCATGAGTAATATTTGGCGTTGACGTCGCCACCAGCCTGACTCGCCTTCTTTGCTGCTTTTGCAATGGCGTTCGCTGTTGCTGCTGCTGCTGTCCTATTCTGTTGCTCAGCAGCACAACTTCGTCAATGTCTTCTCCAATTGCTTGTTCCAGCTCTTCCTCTTGGCCCGCTATTTCTTGTTGGTAGATTTCCTCCACTTCTTCTTCGGCTTCTATCAGAAACTCATTATCATCTCTGATAATGACGCTCAAATCCTGCTGGTGCTGGTGCTGCTGCTGATCCTCTTCCTCTTGGAATTCAAAAAATTGCCGACTAAATTTGTCTTGTTCTACTTCGCGCTGTTGCTGTTCCTGCTGTTTCTCGTCAACCTCTTCGATGAAGTCATTCAAGTCGTCTTCGATGAGTTCGCCAATTGAGGCCTGATCTAAATCCATTCCATGGGGGGAACTGGCATAGTTAAGGGTGGGCAGCGGATGTAGCTGATGTTGTTGTTGTTGTTGCTGTTGCAGCAACGAGTCTTCTTCGTGCTGAAAATCATTCAATGGATTTGATTCACAGAACATTTTTGTTTGTTTCTTCTTCAGTTTTTTGTTTTTCTTAATTCAAAAAAACCCCGTTTTTGGTGGGTATCCGGGGCCACAAAGAAAAAAAGGGGTGCCTCCGGAAAAAATATTCTATCAAAATAAAAAAGATGGCTTTTTGGAGATCACAAACGGAAGTTTCGTTGGATTTTTGTAGTCTTTTTCTGCGCCAAAGGAGTTTAACTCTTTAACGTTGTTGTGTTAGTCTTAAGGGTATTGTGATTCTGTTGCAGTTGCTCTGTCAGAATGTTTGCAACGCTCATGTTTGTTGTTGTAGCGATTTCAGGGCCCTGTCTGTTGGGTTTCCCAAGGAAAACATTCACAACCGAGAACTATTGGCCTTTGGAGTTTTTTTTTTATTATTTTTGGAGTGATGTTTGTCTTTCCTTTTTAATACTCTTCTGTGATGTGTTTCGTTTCACTCAAAATTCTTCTGCGCAATCACTTTGGTTGTGTAGAATGTTTGGAGATCCTTTTGGTTCCTAAGTTGTTTTCTTCTTAATACTGGGCAATAATTTCACACACAATGTTTGAGGGCAACTTCATTCAAAATTACCTTCAATTCTCTATCACATATGGCGGTTTTTCAATATTGAGCGTATTTTAGATTTTGTTTTTTATTTTCTCAAATTTTATGGTTTGAGTTTCCTTTCACGTGAAATATTTTTCCTTTGATTTTTTGGAATTTTTTACAATTTTTTATCACTTTTTTTGCGATTGAGTGATTTTTCGCCACTTGAGTGAAATTGCTTTTTTGTGGGATTTTCAGCTCAGAAAAGTCCAAATTGGGGGATTTTTTCTTTAAAACCTTGGAGAAATTTTCATTTTTAACCAATTTCCAATTGAGTGATTTTTTTCCAAATTGAGTGCAATTGCTTTTCTATGGCTTTTTAGCAACTATATGCCCCTGGGGATTGTGTTGGCTGCGAAAAAATTAAAAACCCCTTAATTTTGATCACTTTCCAATTGAGTGTTTTTTCCTTAAATTTGAGTGAAATTGGATTCTCATGCGATTTGGGGAATTATGACACTTTCTCTATGATTTTTGGTCTAAAACGTTGGCAAAGCAGTTATTTTCGCGTGAATTTTTAATTGAGTGGTGTTTTCTTAAAATTGAGTGGAATTGATTTTCCCCCACAATTTTTGGCAAACAATTTTCTTTTTCAAAACTTTTGTAATCCTTTTAGATTTGACGAAATTGAAAACGATTTTTTTTTTTTTTGTATTTCACTTATTTTTCCCGAATTTCCAATTGAGTGTTTTCTTTATTTGTTGAATGCCAGCAAGATACCACTGTTTAATATTGGGTTTTTTTAGGTTTAATAAAAGTATTTTTTTTATTAATTTTCATTAAATAAGGTTGTTAATTTCACTTGAGTGTTTCGTTGGAGATTTGAGTGAAATTTGTTTTTTGTATTTCTTTATAAATTTTTATGAAATTTTCCGGAAATCCTTTTAATTTCCACAATTTAAATTGATTTTCCAAGAAACTCCAATGATTTTTTCCTTGAGTGATTTTTTCCAAGTTGAGTGAAATGTAATTTTTGTTTCAAAATGAGGGATTTTTGTTAAACAATGTTGCAGTTATCGCGTTAAAAGTTGGTTTCCTGTGATTTGCAACAATTTTCCACCGTTTTTTTCTTTGAGTGATTTTTTTCCAAATTTGAGTAAAAATTAGTTTTTGTTGGTTTTCCGGTACACAAAAAGAGAGAAAATTATTTTTTATTGTTTTTCCGTCTTAAATTTTTATTTTATGTAGTTTTCACAAAGTTTTCTCTTGAGTAAGTTTTCCCAAAATTGAGTGACTTTCCCAAAATTGGGTGAAATTTAAGATTTTTTATTTCTTCTCTTTTTTTATTTTTTTTTTTTTCACAAAGTTTACAATGTTTTCACTTGAGTGATTATTCCCAAAATTGAGTGACTTTTTCAAAATTGAGTGAAATTTAATTTTTTTAGAATTTCCGTTAAAACTTTAATTTTCTTTGATTTTTCCCCAAGTTTTTAATGATTTTTGCTTGAGTGTCTTGTGTTGTTTGTTTGAGTGAAATTGAAAAAATTTCCTTGAAATTTTGTATTTTTTATTTTTTTTTTTTTGGAATTTGATTGTTGTTGTTGCAATTTGATAATGCTTTTATTGTTGTCAACAAATTTTTGCTGATTCAGCCAAAAATTTCTTTTGAGGTCTGGCTGTTTTAATGTTTTGGCTTTTGGTTCGGTGGCTTTTGAAACCCTGTTCGTTGGGTTTTCGGTACGACACTAGCCAAAAAACAAATGAGTCTCCTTGGGCAGTGTATGGTCTTTACGGTATGTTGAGGTATGGAACCTTTAAAAACTATTGGTGGTGGTGGTGGTGCTGTTGAACATTTGTTAATGTGATGGCGGTGGTGCTGCTGCTGTTGCTACTGCTTCCAACTGTCGTTGGGGTTGTATTGCTGTATGAGTAATAATTTGATATTTTGTTGTTGTTACTCTGTTCATACGTTCCGTTTTTTTACTTGTTTCCAGTCGTTGAGTCAGACCCAGAGGAGTTGAGTTATATGTGTGTTTGGTTTCAAATGTAGATTTGTGTTGTTTTCCTGGTTTTGTTTTTTTTCCTATAATTTTTTTTTTTATTTTTCGTTGCAGTTTAAAATTTTTTTCTCTTTAGTGATATATATTTATAAAAAAAATTGTTATAGTTGTTGTTGTTGTTGTTGTTTCGTTCCTGAGGTAGTTGGTTTTCTTGTTGTCATTAAAAAAAAATCTACTGGTGGTTTAACTTTAGCTATGGTGGTGGCTTAATTTAATATTTATAAATAGCTTAGATCTGGACTCTCCTCTCTTTCCAAGGACAATTTTGGGGCAGGTTTTTTTAAAATATCCTTGCACAAGGAATTCTGGATTTTGTAGCTCAGCTTGTTTTGCTAAACAAGGTTTGGATGGATTGTTTTTTTTTTTTTTGATTTGTTGGCGGTCTGTGTTCGTTTTGAATTACCACAGCTGGGTTTCTTGGCTTAATTGCTGGCTTGGCTTTGAATTATGGTTGTTGTTGTTGTTTTTGTTGTTATTATATTTTTTTATAATTATTTTTCTAAGCTCGCACAATTGCTGGCTGGCTTGGCTGCACACAGAAACTTGGTTAGCTGGCTGGCTGGCTGGCTGACTGACAGACTGGCAGGCAGGCAGTTTGTTGTTTGGTCGTTGCGTTTGATTAGTTCGAAATGAACACAGCAGAGAATACGAAACTCATAGGGGAAACAGAAACAAAAAATAAAAGCGATTTCAAGGTGAATCTAAATGTTGCCACTACAATTTAGTTTTTTTTTTTTTTCTCTGTCTTCACTCCAATGTTCGCTTTATTCACACATAATTATATTTCAATTTTTTTCTTGTTGTTGTTGTGTTACAGTACAACGATTATTTTCAAATAGGAAACAATTGCTTCGATTCAGAATTTTTTTTACATAAACTTTGTTTAGAAGGCAGGCGGCAGGCAGGCAGCAGTCCGATCGATTGACGTTTTTAGAAAAAACCTCACGTTTTGCTGCAACTTTTTTTTTTGTTGTGTTTTGTTGCTGTTGTTGTCTTACAAAATTTTGTAATAATTAATTTCAGCACACCGAAACAATTTTCAAATCATATGTTAGAAGAGAGGTGTGTTCAACACGAGCAAGCGTGTGGGTATGTATGTGTGTCGGCTGGCTGGCTGGTTGGGTTGGCAGGCAGGCTGTTGATTTGGGTCTCGGTGTGGGTTTGTTTTGGTTTCTGGTTTATCAGCTGGTTTTCTGTGGGCCAATGTTGTTGTTGTTATTTTTCAATTCAGCTGTTTTTGTATGGCAGGCCAACAAATCATCATCGTCATAGGTGAGATTGCTGGTTTACAAGGTTTTCTGCTGCTGTTGCTGCTTCGTTCGTTACCAACTGTGTTATGCAGATGTTTTCTGTTTTTCTTGTATTTTTTCTTCTTGTTGTTGTTGTTGTAGTTGATATTTTTTGTATATTTTAAATATTTTTATTTTTTTGTAAAAATCTGTTATTATTATCTTGTATATTGAGGTAGTTTTGTTTCAAAACATTTGTTAAAAAATTAGAAGATTTATTTTCTGAGTTTGTTTGTTGCTGAAAATAGAAATGAAAAAAAATGTATTTTACTGAACGGAAAAATATTTTTATATAATATTTTTTTTTTTTTTTTGTAAAAATAAATAAATTTTTTAAAAATAAAAAAAAAAATAAATTTGTAAAATAAAATAAATAAAATTGAGATTTGCCGAGTTTGAAAGTGATTGGTTGCAACTTTCGCATTTTATGAGCATTTTGGCTAATCAAAATTTTGACCCCTTTGTGGGAGAGCTCCCAGAAGGTTCGGACCGGTATATTTTATTTTTACACCAGATCTTGTGCTAGTAGAAATAATGCTATGTGTGAAGTTTGGAAAGAATCTGATGCTTATTTTGAAATTTATGAACATTTTGATTTTTTAAAATGTTGACCCCTTTGTGGGGGAGGTACCCGAAGGGGTGGTCCCATATATTCCATTTTCTCACCACATTTTGTCTGGGATGAAATATTGGAGTGTGTGAAATTTGAAGAGAATCCGATGCTTATTACGTATTTTATGAGCATCTTTCTGATTCACAATTTTGACCCGCTTGTGGGGGAGGTACCAGAAGGGGTGGGCCGAAATCTACTATATTCACACTAGATCTTGTATTGATCGAAATTTTAGGATGTGTTAAGTTTGATAGTATTCGGTTGTTCATTTCGCAACTTATAAGCATTTTTTATATTAAAAAATTTGACCCCTTTGTGGGGGAGGTACCAGAAGGATCGGACCGATATATTCCATCTTTACACCAGATCTTGTGCTAGTAGAAATAATGTAATGTGTGAAGTTTGGAAAGAATCTGATGCTTCTTTCGCATTTTACAAGCGTTTAAGTTATTCAAAATTTTGACCCGCTTGTGGGGGAGGTACCAGAAGGGGTGGGCCGATATCTACTATATTCACACTAGATCTTGTATTGATAGAACTTTTAGGATGTGGCAAGTTTGATAGTAATCGGTTGTTTATTTGGCATTTTAAGAGCATTTTGGTTATTCAAAATTTGGACCCCTTTGAGGGGTACCAGAAGGAGTGGACCGATATATTCCATCTTCAGACCAAATCTTGTTTTGCAAGAAATATTGGGATGTGCGAAATTTGAAATGGATTGGATGATTATTTCGCATTTTAAGAGTGTTTCGGTTACTCAAAATTTTGACCCCTTTGTGGGGAAGGTATTAGAAGGAGTGGACCGACATCTGCCATCTTTACACCAGATCTTGTGCTAGTAGAAATAATTGTATGTGGAAAGTTTGAAAAGAATCTGATGCTTACTTCGCACTTTATAAGCGTTTTAGTTATTCAAAATTTTGACCCCTTTGTGGAAGAGGTACCAGAAGGGGTGAGTCGATATATTCCATCTTCAGACCAAATCTTGTTTTGGAAGAAATATTGGGATGTGCGAAATGTGAAGTGGTTTGGATAATTATTTCGCATTTTAAAAGCGTTTCGGTTATTCAAAATTTTGACCCTTTAGTGGGGGAGGTACTAGAAGGAGTGGACCGATATCAACCATCTTTACACCTGAACATGTTTTGGAAAAAATATTGGGATGTTTGAAATTTAAAGAGAATCGCACGCTTATTTCGCATTTTATGAGAGTTATTATTATTCAAAAATGTTGACCCGTTGTGGGGGAGGTACCAGAAGGGTTGGGTCGATATAGTCGATCTTTACACCAAATCTTCTGTTTGAGTAAATATCGGGATGTGCCGAGTTTGAAAGTGTTCAGTTATTCCTTTCGCATTTTATAAGCATTTTGATTATTCGAAATTTTGACCCCTCACTGGGGGAGGTACCTGAAGGGTTGGTCTGATATATTCCATTTTCACACCAGATCTTCTTTTGGAAGAAATATTGGTATGTTTGAAATTTAAAGAGAATCGCACACTTATTTCGCATTTTATGAGAGTTATAATTATTCTAAAATGTTGACTCATTGTGAGGGAGGTACCAGAAGGGGTGGGCCGATATCTACAATATTTTCACAAGATCTTGTGTTGATAGGAATATTAAGATGCACCGAGTTTGAAAGCACTCGGTTATTTATTTATGCATTTTAGAAGTATTTTGGTTATTCACAATTTTGACCCGTTTTGTTGGGGAGGTACCGCAGGGGGTGGGTCTATACAGTCCAACTTCACACCAGATCTTGCGTTGAGAGAAATATTGAGATATGCAGAGTTTGAAAGTTATCTGATGCTCATTTTGGATTTTTTTGGCTCCATTGTCATTCAAAATTTTGACCCCCTTTGTGGGGGAGGTACCATAAGGAATGGACCGATTTATTCCATCTTTATCCTAGATATTGTTCTGATACAAATATTAAGATGTGCCGAGTGTGAATGAAATTGGATGCTCATTTGGCGTATTTAAAAGCTTCATGTTAATTTAAAAATGTTGACCCATTGTAGGGGATGTACCAGAAAAACTGGTCCGTTCTATCTGTTTTTCAAAGCAGGCCTTGCCTTGGCAGAAATATTTAGATTTGCGAAATTTGAAGACAAGTGGACTCTTATTTCATATTTTATTAGATTTATAATTATTCGAAATTCCGACCCGTTTTTGGGGGTGGTACTTGATGGAGTGGACGGATAATGTCCATTTTCCCACCTGAACTAGAAGACATTCCTAGATCTACTCCAAATGTCCATTCTGACCCCAAGTCCAACTCCACGCTGAATTTCTTGAAGATCAGCTTAAAACTACCACCTCTAACGTGCATGTAAATTAATATAGATAGATGGACACACATAGCCATATCTGCTCAGCTCGGCGAAATAGGAAGATTAATATAAATGGTGAATATAGGACCAATATTTAGTGGTGTTGTAAACTTTTGGGTTCACTCAAACTTATTATACCCCCAACACAGGGTGTTGTAGGGCATAAAAACTAATTCTTCTTAATAATTTGTTATTATACAATTCTCTTGCTCACCTTATTGGTTTTTTACATTATACTCCCATGCAAGTTCTTCAGGATAATTGGTTGGTTGGTGGTTCAATTTTTGTTTTTATATTTTTTTCAACTCCCTTTTTTCTTGTTGGTTTATATATAATTTGTCACGATTTTTTTTTAGTTTTTATTTAATTTTATATTTTAAGTTAATTTGTTTTTTTCTTTTATATATTTTTAAAAAATACCTGAATATTTATTTTTTTGCGTTGCTTTAGTTTAATTTTAGTTTTGTATTTAGAATAGATGGAAGCTTTATATTAAATATTTTTTTTATTATTATTTTTTTGTTTTTGTATTAAAGCAATATAATTTAGAGTTGGGTGTTTGTTTTTTTTTTTTTTTTTTTAATTTAAATCACATTTAAGTTTAAAAACCAAATTACATATTTTATATATAATTTGAAATAATTTTTGTTTTTTTTTTTTTTTATGGAACCTTTAGTGTTACAATAGTTTAAAAGTTGTTGTTGTTGCTTTGAATATTTATTTAGTTTTTTTTTTTTTGTTTTGTTTTGTTTGATTGGATTTGGTTTATCAGCACTATTGGGTTGGGGATTTCATGCCCTGGAAAAAAAAAATAAAAAAGAAAAAGATTATTTGAATAAATTTTGATGAAGAATATTAAATATTTTTTTAAATAAATATATATTATTAAATATTTAAATATAATTATACAACATATTAAAAACACCTCATTAAATATTTAAATAAACATTAACATATATTAAACTAATATTAAACATTATTATTAACATTAGAAAATATTATTCTTAAATTTTTAACATTAATTCTGTAAATACTTAAATACTGTCCATTTTATTGAAACTTTGGGCTAGAATCTTTGAAATATGGAATATCAAGAGGTATAGTTATATAGTTTGAAACAATATTGAAAAAAAAATGTTTGTCATACCAATATGACCCTAGGTCTCTTTGGACCAAATACGTTTCTCGAAGGGTATCCTACCACCCCCTTAATCTGTTACCTCTCCCACAAAAGGTTAAAGTAAAGATAATTATAATTCCTATAAAATTTTAAATAAGTGTCAGATTGTCTTCAAATAGCGCACATCCGAATATTTCGGCCAAGAACATCTGGTGTATTTTGGACCAATCATACTGGTACCTCCTCGCTCATAAAACACGAAATAAACATCTGATTTTTTTCTAAACTTCACATATTCCAACATTTTTATCAACACAAAATCTGTTGTGATGATATGGTATATATCGGACCACTTCTATTGGTACCTCCCCCACAAAGGGGTCAACATTTCGAATAAGCAACACACTCAAAAAATACGAAATAAGCATCAGATTCTATTCAAAATCACCACATCCTAATATTTCTACCAAAACAACATCTGGCGTGAAGATGGGATATATCGGTCAAAAATTTTTGAAAAACCAATATGGTGATAAATTTCGAAGTAAGCATACAATTCTATTCGAATTTCACATATCTTAATATTTTGGCTAAAGCAAGATCTGATGTGAAGATGGTATATATCAGACCACTCCATCTGTTACCTCCCCCATAAAGGGGTCAAAATTTTGAATAGCCAAAATGCTCATAAAATATGAAATAAGCATCAGATTCCATTCAAAATACCCACATCTCAATATTTCTACCAGAACAACATCTGACGTGAAGATGGTATATATCGGACCAGTCCTTCTGGTACCTTTCCCACAAAAGGGATCAATATTTTGAATAAGCAAAATCAAAATTTTTGAATAAGCAAATACGAAAGAAACACCCGACTGTCTTTAAATTCCACACATCCCAATATTTCCATCAACACAACAACTGGTATGAAGATGAGATGTATCGGTCCACTAATTCTAGTACCTCCCTCACAAAATGTTGATACTTTTATAGATTAGCAAGCGCCCACTACTTTGTCAGCGAAAAGTTCACCTTCAAATTTTCAATTTGTTCAATTAGGTCTGTCGAAAGCTATTTCAACGTCTTCATATGCGAACCCTAGAAATCCACAGTGACCTCAAAATCAAAATCCAGAATTTCAGCCCTATCCCTCCACTTAGTACCAAATTTAGTACGCATATCTAAAAACAATCTACATCTCTCTCCATCCTAGACACCAATAGTGATCTATTTTAGCATTCAGTAGCAAATTAGTAGTATTTTTGTAGGCAGGACCACGTCTTCGTATAGCCCCCCGTATAACCGTACCTCCCGATAGTCGGTATTTTGATGATTTCAGCAACATTATTTACAGAAATTATTTCAAATTTGGCATTTGAAGTTCGTAATGGGTACTACAGCCTATGGCTGAAAATTGTGTGTGCAGGTCCACGTCTTCATGTAGCCCCTCATATTACGGTACCTCCCGATATTCGGTATTTTGATGATTTTAGCGACATTATTCAGCGGAATTGTTTCAAATTTCGTAGTAGAAGTTCGTAATGGATACTACAGCCTATGACAGAAAATTGTCTGTGCAGGTCCACGTCTTATTATAGCCCTCATATAACGGTACCTCCCCATATTCGGTATTTTAATGATTTGTGCGACATTATTCATCGGAATTGTTTCAAATTTGGTAGTTGAAGTTCATAATGTATACTACAGCCCAAGACAGAAAATTGTCTGTGCAGGTCCACATTTTGGTATAGCCCCCACACAACGGTATCTCACGATATTCGGTATTTGGATGATTTTAGCGACATTATTCACCGGAATTGTTTCAAATTTGTTAGTAGAAGTTCGTAATGAATACAACAGCCCATGCCAGACAATTGCCTGTGCAGGTCCACGTTTTCTTATAGCCCTGATATAACTATACCTCCCGATATTCGGTATTTTAATGATTTTAGCGACATCATTATTCACCGGAATTGTTTCAAATTTCGTATTTGAAGTTCTTAATAAGTAATACAGCCTATGGCAGAAAATTGTCTATGCAGGTCCACATTTTGGTATAGCCCCTCATACAACGGTGCTTCCCCATATTTGGTATTTTAATGATTTTAGCGACATTATTCACTGGAATTGTTTGAAATTTCGTATTTGAAGTTCGTAGTGAGTACTACAGTCTATGCCAGAAAATTGTCTGTGCAGGTCCACGTTTTGGTATAGACCCCTTCCCCCCTTTTATTGATGCTTTTAGCTACAATATTCACCGAACTTTTTTTCAAGTTTCGCATTTAAATATTGTAGTGGCTTATGACAAAAATTGCCTATGCTGGTGCACGTCGTCGTTTAGACCCTAATATGTCGGATATATTTGGTATTTTTTTAAGATTTTAACAGAATTTTTAAGTGATTTTTATTTATTTATTTCTTTTTTTTTGAAAATTGCCAAATTCGTTGCAAATGGTAGAGGTGGTATTCAAAGTTCGGCCCGGCCGAAGTTACAGCTTTTTTACTTGTTTTTTTTTTTCAAGTTTCGCCTTTGAATATTCTAATGGTTTATAACAAAAATTGCCTATGCAGGTCCACGTCGTCGTTTAGTCCCTAATCTGACGGCTGCATTTGGTATTTTTAAGATTTTTAGAAATTTTTTAAGGATTTTTTTTTAATTTTTTAACGATTTTTTTTTGTTTTTTGAAAATTGCCAAATTCTTGGCAAATGGTGGAGGTGGTATTCAAAGTTCGAACTTATAGCTTTTTATATTATTATTATTTTTTTTTTTTTCAAAATAGTTTTCCATTTATTTCTCATTTCACTTCTGTTCTGTAATGTTTTTTTTTTTTTTCATTCTTTCAACACTTTTTTTTCGTATTTCTTCTTCTTATCAGAAATCCGGTTTTGTGAAATGAATCAGCCTGGTTTAGTTTCACATTTTTGTAGTTCTGGGGTGTTTTATTTTTTCTGGTCTTTTTTTTTGGTCTTCTTAGTCGTGGGTTTTGCACTCAATTACAATTGGACGTTGGCCGTTTTGAGTTAGTGCCTGGAAAACGACAAATGTGACAATTTTTTTTTTTTTTTTTTTTTTTGAGAAAATATTGAAAATAGAGAAAACGTGTTTTATCAATATTTACACGACGACTCAAACATTTTGTAAAGACTTTCTTCTTTTATCACAAATTTTATTTATTTATTTATTTTTTTTTTTTTTTTTTTTGGATTTTGCCATGGGTTTAGAATTACAGTTAATGTATTTGTTGTTATTGTGGGGTTTAAATGTAGTTTTGTTTTTATCAGCAAATAATATTCAGTTTTTTTTTTACACATCTGCACACATTTATTTATTTATTTATATTTTATATGCTGCTGGCTTTATCACTCTATTTATTTTATTTGATTTTATTTTATTTATTTTTTATTGATTAATTATTAATGTAAATTAATTGCATTGGATTTCATTTGAATTTTGTTGTATTTCTTATTTGTATTGTTGTTGTGTAGATTTGTATTTTATTTTTTTTTTTTGTTTTCTTTTATTATTTACATTTACAGAATTAAATATTTTCCTCTTTCGTTTGTTGTTATGTTTTATTCGTTTTTTGATTTTTGTTTTCTTTTTCTTAGCATTTGTTGGCAGCTGATAATTTGTGTGTTCTTTTTGGCGTTCGTTTGTTTTATTTTTTTCGATTCTGACGTCTATATTTAATATACATATACAAGAAATGTGTACAAATGTATGTAAGTAACATTGTGGGTACATATGTACTTTTTATATAATTTCAAAACCAAATGGAACCAAAAAAAAAAAAAAAATAATTGCAATAATTTGAAATGCACTTAACAAGGATAACCGAGTTTTTTTAAATATGTTTTTTCAATACCAATTTTTTTTTTTTTTTTTTTGAAAATAAAAAATTTATGGAAAATATTTTTTAAAAATTATTATTTTTTTATTATTATCCTATTTTTTTCAATACCACTTTTTTTTTGAAAATGAAAAAAAATTGGAAAATAATTTTTAACAAATAAAAAAGTTTCGGTCGGTTTTGTCGACAGATATATACCCTCAGCCAATGTTCGAATATTTAAAAAAAATATTTTGACTTCTGTTTTGATTATTCCAACTCTTGACCCTCCATGGAGTGGGTTTTGAAAAAAATGGGTCAATATTGTGCATTTCGTATCGGACCTAAATAAATATCGCATAAATATTGCAACGTGCCACGTTTGGACTATACAGGGTGAGATGTCAAAACTGCAACCAATTTCAGACTGCTGCCATTTCTAAGCCACTCGACCGACAGCTGGAAAAATTATTCTAGTGACAGGTCATTATTTTGTTTGCAAGCGTACAAAAGCGTTTTGGTGAGAATTTTCCAAAAAAAAAAAAGTTTTTCGCACGCGCCACCCAAGAATGGTTAGAAAACGAGGTTTCTCGCTTCATTTCCAGCGCACAATGGCCACCAAAATCTCCCTCCG